CCCAGTACCAAAAAAAAATAAAATAAAATAAATGAGAAGACACTCAGCTGGTGTCCATTGCTGCAAAATTGGTTGCTTGTTTGTTGGAGGGGAGAAATCCCCATATATCTGGTGTCAGAAGTCTTCTCTATTGCAGGGGTTATGAGAGCAGAGTAAAAAAAGATTCCTTGTGTTTTCTTAGACAAAGAGGTGACCTTGGTTTTTTGTGGCATTACTGGCCTTCAGCAGATTCACGCAGCCTGTACCTCTAACCATATCACCTACTGGCTGATTCTCTACCCTACATGGACCCAATCCAAGTTCTATCTCCCCCATAAATCATTCTTCAGGGATCACTCTGTTCCAGCTATCACTGTAGGTGTGGAGTATGCCTCATTACTGCTTATCTCATTGAATTTGTTCTTCCCTTGTGTATGTTACAAGCTCCTTAAGGATCAGGACCCTGGTGTACACTTCTGTAAGCACCCCCCTTAACGGTGGCAACAGAAAGTGGAAGTTCAGAAAGAATTTTTATAATTCTCACATGAAAATACTATTTTTGTGAATAACAGGTTCTCAACTCTTAGCTCCATGACTTAAAATATGTGCACTGGCAGGTAAAGTAATGTTTGAGCAGTGTAAGTGCTGGTATTCTTGATCTTCATTCATGATTTCTCATCTGTTGGTCAGAGTGTTGGTACATGAAGCCCACTCAAGAAGGAAACCTGGAGAATGGTGTCAGAAAGCTATCCCTATCCAGCCATTATCATCTAGCAAAATAAACCTAAAGAACTACTATGTGGCTTCATTTTCTGTCTCTGAAGTTTTTGTGAAATGGGCTGGGGATGTGACTCAGTGGTAGAGTGTCTGCCTGGAAAGCATAGGGCCAAGTTTGAGCCTCAGTGCCACAAAAACAAATAAAAGTCTGTGAAATGTTTTATTGTTTCCTTTCTATGATGCACAAGACCTATTTCAGTTTGACCTTAGCCAGTTTTTCTAGGCTCATTCCAAGATATTCATCAGGATTATTGGCACTAATTATGTGCCCAGCCCTACGCTAGACATCAGGGGTGTAAGATGAAAAAGCTCTTCCCAGACAACTTATTCTTCTATGCCTTTACTCCTGAGTTTCTTTTGCTTAAAATTCCTTTTTCACCTATGTCTGCTTTTTAAATGCCTATCCCTTATCATCTAGAACAGTTCTTCCCAAGTGGCAGAGGCAATTTCTTTGGGGAAATTGGCTTATTGGGGAGGCCAATTTATTTTTACTTGTGTGTAGTCATAACTACTATAGCACTTATGGTATTATATATTACAATACTGTGAATATATCTACAGAAACATTCAGCTGCAGGAAACAGAATAACCATCTCTAAAAGTGGGCTATATAATAGGTCATTGAACTAATTCATGTAACAGCAAGTCTTATAGGAGGCATTTTCAGGGTTGGTGTTATAGCCCAATGATATCACAGATTCAGGCTTTTTTATTTTCTGTCCCATTACCCTTAGCAACTTAAGTTTCAATCTGTAGGCCTTTTGCTTCATATTGCTGAATAATTACTGCATCTCAAGAACTTCTTCACACAAATGTTTCCAAATACAGGAAGGTGTGATTTTCCTTGTAGCTCTCCTTTTATCAAGGAGGAAACTTTCTGGAAGAACGTAATTGGCTTGACTGTCCCCCTTAGAACTGAGAGAGCAGTCCACCTTACCTGATCACATTTTAAAGAGAATTCTAACTTTAGCTAGACAACAAAGAGGGAGGCTGTGCCTATTGGGGAAGCCACCAACAATGGCTGCCACCATTTTTTTGGCTGTGAATGTCTTTTTTATCCCATAAAACAGTAGCTAGATATTCAGTTAGAGCTTACTAACTTTAATTACATTTCCAGTGGCCACTAAATAAAGCCATCTCAAAGAAACTATAAGTAAAAATGTAGAGAATTACTCTAATTTATTAGTATATGCATAAATCTTCTGTGGTGGGTTGTATTGGACAGGATAAATATTTAGCTGGAATTTGTGCCATTTTTGCATTATTATCTGATGAAGATAATATCCCCTTTAACAAAACCAGAATCAGCTCTTACAGCTTCTTTGGCAAGATTGTTGGTTAATTGGTGTTTTATTTTAGAGATGTCCGTAATTTTTCCCAAGTTAGTATAAAAATCAAATTTCAGTTAATCTATATACATGAGTATTTAACATTAAATCCTTCAGAATGGATGAGAAAGGCATATCCTACTGTTTTGTTTAATATGGAAGACTGTCCTGTTGCAGTTGAAATAATGCCTTACTAGCAAGAATTTTTTACCTTGTTCATAAAATTTTTTTGATAAATACCTTCCAAAAATTAATTTTTTCTTAGTTGTGTTGTATTTGTGTAAGTTCATATTCATACAACAAGCATTTATTGAGAGCCTGTATATGACTCAAGACTTAGTCAAAAAATTTGTGTGTGTGTGTGATTGCCCTCTGGAGTAAAGTAGCACATGATCCAGTTAAAGAGATAAGACCTAAACAATCATAATAGCTTCACACAGTACAAGAAGTTGTACCAACTCAGAGAGATCCCCTTGATTTTGTTGTATTCCCTTGGTGGGTGAAATTAGAAACTTTGAGCTCATGCAGCATTATTGGCTGCTTGGTTTAATATGATATATGTGACTATACAAATCAGATTCCACTTATATAATAAAGCTATCATATGAAAAATTGAAATACTGCAAGAAAAAGTATGCAGGGGAAATCTCATGAATCTCAACCTTCAAGCATGAGTGTGGCAAATGATGTTGGAAGAAGACAAGATTGAGGATATTTTGAGCTAGGAATGAATGCGATCATGTTTTTGGCAGCTAGTGAGAAAATTGGCCTGACTAGGCACTTACATTGGACAAGGAGCAACAAAGCCACATAAGGGTGTTGGGAACAGATCCTGAAGGGCCTTGCATGTGAAGAAGTGATCGGTAATGTTTAACTGACCTGAAGAGTCTGAGACATTAGAGTTTATACTCCAATAGGTAACTCCCAAAATGTGTCTAATACCTAACTATTCCATGGTGAAGAAGGTCAAGGGCCCGGGCTAGAGCAGGTAGATATAATCATTATTTTAGATAGAAAGACTGCTCTTTTCACGTAAGGAGAGAGCCCTTTCAAGTGCCTGGGCATAAAGCCAGGGGAAGCTTGTTTACCTTGGTCATCATGGTCAGATTTCCTTATGTGGAGGTATCCAGTATCTGCTAAATGAAAGTATGCGAGTTCACTGTCTACTAGTGGTCTTCACAGGATGACCAAGGCTCCTTCAGGAGGTCTGCACAGCCAGAACTGTTTTCGGAGCAATACTAAGTGTTCCCTTGCTCACATTTACACTGAGAGTGTCAGAGCAAGGGGGAAAACTGCTGGTGTCTTAGCATGAATTAAGCAGTGGCTCCAAATTATACTACTAGTATTGGATTCTTATCCACCATAGTTGTAGGGGGAAAAACTAGTTTCTCTTACAAACATTCTTGATGGAAATAAAAAGTATTATTAATTTTATCAAATAACTATTTAGTGTCTATCTTTTTATATTATGTATGATGAAATGAAAAGAATGCATAAAGCAGTTAGTTAGGCAGCTAAGTTACAAATTGGAATATCCACTTTTTTATGGAGTGTCTTTTGTGCCTGAAAGAATAACTGACACAAACAATTGTTATTCAGGCTTGGGTATTTCACATGCACTTTCTCAGAAATTAACCTAACTGAGAATCTTGCTTCAAGGAAAACAATGGACAATACTTTGTTGCTAGCGATACAATTCAGGTTTTCAAAAACAATTAAAATACTGAAAAGCTTGTGTCTGCCACCATGACTTCACATTGTTTAAAGATTTTTCTGCTAATAACCAAAATGATTATGCAACATTGTGTAATTGCATGAATATTTTGAAAATCTACATAACTCTGTTAATCCATATTTTCTGGATAACCAGTGAATATTAAAAGTCATGCATGGGAAAAAGAGTCACTCAAAGTAGAAGATGCACCAACAAAAATGAATTTTAACAATATAAAATTTTATTGATAGGTTTTAGATTTTTCATGAAATTAGCCTTAGTTGAGTTTTTGTATAGTATCAAAAAGGAATATCCATAATTATCTGAAAAAGCTATTAAAACTATTGTTTCCGTTTCTGACTCCATGTTTGTCTGAAGCCAGTTTTCTTCATATACTTTAACAAAAACAACATATCACCACAGATTGAATGCAGAAACAGGTATGAGAGTCTAGCTGTCTTTTATTAAGCCAGATACTAAAGGCACTTGCAAAAATATAAAACATAGCCATACTTGCACTAATTTTATATTTATTTGTCTTGGAAAATGTATTTAGTTTTTGTTTTAAGGAAGTCACTTATGGGCTGAGATGTAGCTCAGTGGTAGAGTGCTTGCCTATATATATGAGGCCCTGGATTCAGTTGCCAGTACCAAAAAAAGTTATTTATGTTAATATGTAATGACCTTATTATTATTCTAATGATTTAATACTTTAAATAACTATAACCAACATAAGAAGAAGCTCTTTGGCGTCCTCGATTTTAAAAGTAACACTGAAAAGCTTCAGAACTACTGTCTTAAGACCATATGGTATCACACACCTGTAAGCCCAGCACTGAAGGCACGATGATTGCAAATTCAGCCCAGCCTGGGCAATTTTGCAACTTATTGAGACTGTCTCCAATTTTAAAAAAATGTTTAAAGGGCTGGGTGTTTGTAGCTACTTGCAAAGGTCTTAGGGTTTAGTCCCCAGTACTCCAAGGAGAGAGAAAGGGAAAGGGGAAGGGAGGTACCTTATCATCAAAATTAGTTCCAGCATTGAAAACATCATTTCCTCTCCTGAGTAACTCAAGAATGCATATCAAAATAGGAATGAAAATGATCTGATTTTAGAAAACCCACTATTTACTACACCAGTTGCAATTTACTACAGCAGGTGAATCATTCAGACTTTAGTACTTTTTATTTATTATTAATAATAATCTGCACTGAACTTCACAAGTTAATTGCAAGGTCTCAGTGTCATCTTTGGCTTGATACATAGAATGTTCTTCCCAGACACTGGAGAGCGACTGAGGGCTTGTAACCAGTCAGCCTACATGGCCCTGCTGAGGATGGCAGCACAAGTGAGTGCCTGTCAGGAAAAGCACTGGCCCCACTCTTCTGTAATCATTTCATATAACAGGCATTGTTTCATCAGGGTCTTCAAGTAGTCCCTGGAGAAGATATTATAGTAACATAAATAAAACTCAGACATAAAGATTTAAACTTGAGATCAGAGCTACAAAATGCTATAGACTTAGTCATTACTACTTACTGGAGACCCTATGAAGACTGGTAGAATTGTGAATTTTAAGTATGAAAGAGACTAGTAGGGATAGCAAACCCAAATCTCCTATACCCTAGGTCACAATTCCCAAATCCTTCATTAGCAGAAGATAATGGAGTTCATAAGGTACACAGCCTCCTAAAGTTTACACCAAAGTAGGTGGAAGAAGGCCTGGCCCAGGTCCGTGGTGCTGAGTCTACTATTGGAACTCTGCAGGGAATTTACCTGATTGCCCTGCATAGAGGACTGAGGGTATTAGCCACAGTTCCCCTCTGCGTGTCTGCATGTTTTGGTGAAAGAAACTGCCATGGCACCACCTGGCCCATCCTGTGGATTGGCTGCCATCCTATAAATGAAAGAGATTTCAGTCTAACATATGCCAAAGAAGTGGAATTTATGTGCTTCTACAAGGGATGATCAAAAAATATAGTCAGTTTTTAAAAAATTATTGTAGTAAAAGACACATTGCCATTAATCCCCCTCAGGACTGCCCACTTGCTTTGAACACACATATTCCATCATTCTTGTCACTTTCTGAAGCAGTTCTGGAAGTCTTTTTTCATGAGTGTCTTTAGTTGTGCTGTTGTGGCTGCCTCAGTGTCCTCAGTTGATTCAAAATATTTACTTTTCATGGTCATTTTTACTTTGGGGAAAGGCTAGAAATCACATGGTACCAGATCCAGTGAATAATGCAGATAAGGACACAGCTTGATATTTTTATGTCTGCCTTTCCATTTGAGGGCACTCAGCAGCAGCACTCACTGTATTTTTTTGTTATTCTTCTTAAAGACACTCAGGAAAGATGATTTCCAGAACTGCTTTAGAAAGTCACAAGAGCAATAGGATAAATGTGTTTGAAGCAAAGGGAACTATTTTGATGGGATTAATGACAATGGGTCTTTTGCTGTAATATAAAATTTTACATATTCATTGTATTTTTTGATCACCCTTTGATATCCATAGTGTGCACCCCATAGTATTCATCTGTTCTCCCAATCCTGTCACTTTCTTCTGCCTCTTACATAGGTTTCTTACACAAGGAATCACCCATTTAAGTAACTCTGAATTTCCACCAGCTACTTCTTTCAGATTTAATTTGTTATGTGTTTATTTGAAGAGATACTTCCACTATTATGGATTTTAAAAATAGGCTCAGGACAGACAATATAAAATAGTCCTTTGTAGCTCCCTCAAAGCAAAGTATTATCTATAAAAGAGTTTTACTTGCCTGTAACTATTATACCTTCCAAAAGCAGAACAATAGTTACCAACTTTAATCTTCCTTTCCTCCTGAAAGAAGTTTTGGATTTGAATCTGAGTGGGGCTTTTTTCCTCAGATTTGAATGTCATTTTTAGACATATGCAGAAATCTGACTTTACTGACTTCATGGTGGGTCCTCTATAGCCAGCTGGCCTTGCTCCAAGAGAGTGAGTGAAGGTGATCAGATTTTTGTTGAATATGAAAAATAGCATTACAGTAACAGGCAGAAACCTTGAATCATTATGGGTGAGGTTTTCACACTTGTACAAAGATCCTTAAAAGTATGTCATTTTTAAACTCTCAGATGTCATTTGAATGAATTTACTGATAGTGTGCTATATGTTTTTATTGTGTTCCTAATGCCCTGCTTTGCAAAGGTATGCAAATTTATGACTTTTATCTGTTTACAGTTTAGCTCTTAACCAAGAAGAGATTTCTTTTGAACCAATGTGTAAATAGAAGCATTGCTGCCTCGGACTTCACTGTTTAGGGTTTAATGAAGAAGGAAAATGAAAGAGTACTTAATTTTTTAGGCTTTGTGGCAACATTGGGGTGATCTGGCTGATGTGAGGGTGTGGTCCCATGTGGTATGACCTTAGAGTGTTTCCTGAAGCTGTGTGCTAATCACAGGACATGGTGGAACCCACAGAAGTGTCCTTTGATGAGCAGATCCTTCAGTGAATGATCTTAGAATTAGAACTTTGAATCAGGTCCTCTGCTTGGCTTCTCAGTGGGTTAGAACCATTAGAACCTTTGATTACTTTGAAAATATCCATTTCTAGTTTTCCCATTGACTAAACAGCCTAATCATTTGGTCATTGTAAAAACAGTCAGTGTGGCTGTTAAATATAAACTGCTCTTTGTTCTTGTGTACTCTCTAAGGGGTATTGTGGAGAAACTAGCTGGGTAGGCAGATCCATTCCAATCCTGCTCAATAAGAGATTTCACTAATTGCTGGTAGCTTGCCATGGTGCTGCTTGACCATAGCTCATTCCCTCCCTGCTTCTGCAGCAGCATTCAGTCTGCATGTGAATTAGCTGGGGAGAAGAACATGGTCTGTGCCAGCTACAGGTGTGTCTCTAGATTAGCCCAAGGATGTTTGAAAGGTAGCAGAAATTATCGGTAGTATTTCTCCTCCAAAGTGAGTACTGGCCACTGATAATTACCTTTGGAACTCACTCGACTGGGTTGTAATGCCTCTTCCCTATTTGTTAACAGTTGGTGGGTATCCCTACCAATTTTTCTCATTTCCTTGCTATTCTTACCTAAGTGTTCTCTACAATTCTTTAGCAATTTATTTCCAAAACTGTCTTACTTCAATGAATATTAATAAGATTTTTCCATTAAACAGTCTCTAAACTATTCCAGTGCAGTTTCCTAGCATATAAAGATAGATTTTATATATATAGCCCAGTAAATAGAAAAATGCTAAGGTAATAAGTGGCTATGAGGTAGGAAGAATCCTGCTTTCTTATTCTTTTTTAAGCACACTGACATTAAGGATTGCTCTCCACAAATATTTTGAGTCAGTTCCTTACCCTTTCCTATAAAAAAAATCTACAACTTTTCTTTATATATATGTACATTTTAGGTATAAAATACATTTACATTTATCATTGGGTGTTTGTACCAGAACATGATGTATCTTAGTTTTTATTTTTTCTCCCATTACCTGTGTACCCTTTACCCCCTCCACCCTTCCCTATTTACAACAGAGTTTGATTCCATTTTTTTTTCTTTCTCATAATTTTTCCTTTCCCTTCTTCCCTTTCCCCTTCCCCTCCCACCATCTCCTAACCCTTGGACAACTTTTCTTTTTTTAGCTGAGCCTTTCAATAAATGTTGTTTTAATGAAAGTAAGGCAATTTGGCTAAGATCTAAGGCCTTGTATTCCAGAGAGTATGGTTTTGGCTCAATGGAATAAGAAAGAGTATTTATTATCGAACATCACTTTAACATTTGATACTGTCGGTGGGTCTACATGAAGATAAGGAACTTTCTTTGTTTTATTTAAATTCTTTTATTGATACATTTTAGGTATACAAACGTTTACATTTATCATTGGGTGCTTGTACCTGTACATGATGTGTCTTGGTTCTTATTTTTTCCCCATTACCTGTGTGCCCTTCACCCCTTCCACCCTTCCCTATTTACAGAGACTTTGTCTCCATTTTTTTCTTTTCTTATAATTTTCTATAGCAGTTGTCAACCTAAAAATTTGCAGTAAGAAGTTGTACAGAATTAAGGTTTTTAGGTCTAGTGAGTTCATTTTTTGTTGTTGTAGAGGTTTTGTTTACTTGTGCACTTTTTTTCTTTCAATTTCTTTTTTCTTCTTTACTGAGGAAGGATTGAACTGGATCTCCTAAACTTTCAAATGTATAAACTGTGCACAGTGTATTAAAATCTATGGGACATATAATATGTAAAGCAAAATAAAATACTTTTAAAGTCACGAGAAGTAAGAGGAGAAAAGGAGTGCACAGTGGACATTTCTCTAGCATTTTTCCCTGCAAAACTACTCTTATTTATTATAATCCTAATGTGTGTTTTTTATAATTTAAAACAATAAAACTATTATGTAACAGAATGTATACATTATACCTTTTTAAATAGTGGTTTTATGTTATATTCAAACATTTTACAGGTATGTCAGAAAAATTAAGTGATAACATTATTAAAATTATATCATAGCAGATAAAGTCTTTGAAGTGAGCCACTTTCAAATTAAACATTTAATCATAGGTAAGAACATGATTTTTAAAAATTTTAGTTTATTAGTATATTTTTGAATGATTTTGCAAGGATATATGAGAACAATTACTACTTTTAGAAATGATACATACTTTAATATTTTAGTTGGATAAAATTTATATGTTATACTTTATTTTTAATAACAATTATTTTTGCAAAGATAATATGTTTAAGTTCTAATTGTACAAGTGATATTAGGATCTCTTTAATTAGCCTTAGCCTACCTTTTACATTTTTAGACCTATTTTGCTATGGTCTGAAGGGAGAAGGATTTTTCCCTAATTTTTATATTTTCAACTGACTACTCCATATGCTTCAGTATTCTCTGATAAATTCAACTTTGTCAGTAACCCCATTTTTCACTCAGTTCATTTCATCATCAAATGGATTTTTAAATTCAGTGGTTTATATTACCTCGGAATAATTACTCCATTTCTTACATTTGTTGAGTTGTTTTTATTTTTAATAAAGATTTCAAAACTTGAATTTGATCTTTGCATACAAACACTGTAATGAAAATACCTAACAGTGTCCAATAATTTATGGAAATAACCATGAACATAGAAATTACTAAGTGATAAATTATATTTTAACAATGTGAGGCTTTCTAAATAGATTAGCAAAAATACCTCCGTACAACTATTATACAAAGTTCTTTTGTTCATAATTCCTTTCTTGCTTTATTATTGTAACCTTAATCAGAATTGCAGATTCTCTACCTTCAATACCTTCAGGAAATATTTCAGTACTCAGGAAAATATTGATAGATATTTTTGAAGAAAACTTTTAAGAAAAAATTAGGGGCAGTGGAAGCTTTTGCAGAAACTGGAGCTTCTGCTTTTTTCAAGTTGTGATCTCAAAATCTCCTGTCAAATACAGACACACTGATCCAGTGATCACCATTTCTACCCTCTTTTGAGAAGAGGAGTGGCTTTATTCTACTTCCTTGAGCAGCCCAAGCAGCTTTACCCCCTATCTCCTAATGTTAAGAAAGACAAATTACCTTTTAAGTTTCTAATCCACCTCATTTTATTAACTTCATAACTTGATTCTTCACTCCTATTGCTACATCACAGTGTTGCCTCATGGAAGACTTCCCAGCTTTGACCTAAATGATAATGAACAAACTGAGTCCATTTCGCATAATCTAGAATCTTTTTATCTTGGCCATAGATGTTGTACTTTGCTACAATAAGAAATTGTAGCTACAACTGTACTGTGGTATTATTTTCTTTGTATCAGCTATGGTAAAAGACTGATTATACTACTTTACTCTAAAAAGCAGTGAAACTACTTTTCTAACAAGAGCACCAAAATATTTATAAATTAAAATGAATATTGTTTTTCAAAAAATAAGAATTTTTGAAAATTGTGTAAATGGTGCTACCGCATGAAACAGGAGTCTTAATTCTTTCTGGTCACATACACCTTTAAGAACATGGCAAAAGCCAAAGTCTCTTATGTCTAAAAAAATATGAATGCTTACACATGTAGAAAATACAGCCATGGGGTCTTCTTAGACATCCATTTCTTAAAAACTCATCTAGAGGCTCAGTGGACACAGGTTAACGAGCCCCCACTCCTCCTGAATGGAAAGCAGACCCCCACCCCCACCCCACAACAGATGTCCATGAACTTGTCCTAGGAACCTATTCTGTAATACATTATCTTACCTGACAAATGGAAATTAAAGTGCTAGATTAGATGCCATAACATTTGAATCAGTTGATTTTGAGATGAGTTAACTGCATGTTTGCAATTGCGTATGCTAATCAGCTGACTGGATTATCTGGATTGATCCAGTCCAATCGCATTAGTTTTTAAAGGCAGAAAACTTCCTGGCTGAAGTCAGAGTGTGGTATGACCATGGAAGAAAAGTAAGAGAAAAACAGTTGTCAACTTTTGAAGGGAACCACACGACAAGTATTGTGGGCAACCTCTGGGAGCTGAAAACAACCAGGAAATAGATTTTCCCCTAGAGCAGCCCTGCCAGCACCTTGATTTTACCCCACCATAATCCATGCCAGACTTACATACAGAAATGTTATATAATAAATTTGTTTTAAGCCAGCAGTGTTGTAGTAACTTGTTAGCAATAGGAAGCAAATACACTACCCCGAAACCATACATATTTTATACTCTCCATCTTTAGAACTCCTGTTCAGAAAAAACCTTTTAGGTTTAGGCTCACAAATTCCTAAAATCTTTTTAATATAACTGGGCTAATTTTTAAAAAATTTGTTACACAACCTTGTTTCAATAAAGTGTTAAAGATATCAACTTAAATGGAAATCTGCAACTAGATACTTTCAAAAATAAGAGGTAGAATGCTGAGCCCTTGTAAGAGAAAAATGTTTTTCTCTCTTAATTATTGTCAAAAAGTATCAGGTTTTTAAAATGAGAAATATTCAGCAAGTGTTAAAAGACTCATGTGTCTGATAGCTGTGGTTTCAAAGACTGAATTTTCCTGAGGAATTTATAAAAATGATTTAAGAAGATGCACTTTGACAAAACATGAGCTTTGTAATTCTGCCAGGGTCAGAAAGACCAAGCATAATCATGTAGATAATTGAAAATCACCATTCTCTGACATGATCTCACCATGGCTTCATAAATTGCAGTGTATGAGGGGGCCTCTCTTAGCTGGCCCAGCTCCTTCTCTTTGGGTTTACTCCCTCTGCCTCCGTATAAGGATTTCATCTCTCCTTATAATAATGAATAAGTATTTCTAGGAGATCATCTAATATGATAAGCCTTTAGGAACTTCTAGGCACTCATCTTGTTTTGTGGTATAAATACATCAAATCTTCAAATTTACCTTTAGAGATCAACATTTTCCTCTCTTTATTAATAATGTGTTAAGATGTAATTTTTTTAAATAATGTCTTTAAGGAAAGTATTGCCAGTGTTACGGTTAGGAGCAAAGCTCCTAGTTCAACCTGGCCACTTACCATTCTGTGAGTGTCCATGTGAGCCACAGTGGCTTTCATTTATTTTCAAATAATTGTCAATTTATTCTCATTAGAAATGATTTCCTACTAAATATATACTATTATTTAAGTCTTTTCCAATAAAATAAACCTGAATATAAGTTAGAAAAAAAGAAAAGCTAAATGTGCCATATTTTTTCCACAATGGGCTTATCATTTAAATCACTTTAGGGTAGGAGCTTCTTTGTAGAGGTAAATATATTTATATTTCTGTCCTTTCAAATTTAGTAGCTTGACCACAGCAACTTAATAGGTATTTAGTAAATATTTGTGGAATGAGAAACCATTACCTACCTTCATTCTTTGAATGTGTCTTGCTTCAACCCTGTTGAACTCCTATCAAAAGAAAATTATATCATTAACAAGTATCTGTGTCTAATAAACAGTAGTACTCTTTGTATGTTTGAAAATTTCTTAAATGATAATATAACTGAGTATAAAACTCCAGATTCACAGTTTTGTTTCTGTGTGTTGAAGATATTATGCCATTAACTTCTTGTAGTGGTGATGTTAATGAGAAGTCCAGTGTTAGTTTGCATTTCCTTGTGGGTATCTTCTTGTCTTTTCTGTCCAATAATTTTTAAGATACTCTTTTTCTGTAATATAACAAAATACAGATTTATTGTCATTTTTGCCAATAGGGATTCTCTATTTTCTGTTTGACTATCCATACCTTCTTTAATTTCTATTATTAGCATTATCTCTTCCATTTTCTCTGTTCTTTCCTTCTAGATTTTAGAAATTTTTGGATGTCTTCTCTTAATTTCTCTTTTTTTAAATCCCTACAATAACTTCTGAATAATATCAGCTATCATTGTAGGGCTATTTATTCTACTTCGTAACCCATATTTTTGTCTCTATCTTTTAGATTTCAGAACTACATTTCTTTTGTAAAGTTTTATTTGGTTCTTTTTCAAATCTACCTATACAATTTCTGATTCTTGCTAGTGGATTCTGTTTCTTCCTTTATCTTTCTATACATGGTTATTATCTGTAATTCTTCAGATAGGAGTCTTCATATGTGTTGCATCTGCTTACTTTCATGGTGGTGGGTTTTATATGTTCTTTATAAGTTCATCTGAATTCTTTTTCCTTCCATTGGAATCACAAGCATTCTTTGGATTATAGAACTCTGCCTATGGTATGTTTTTGCATTCACCACTCATTAAGATCCATGATTTTCACTGGTTCTTGGCCAATTTTTTATGTTGGTTTTCACTTAGGTGCTGCAAAACCAGATTCCACAAATGGCAGCAGCTGTCATTCCATATTTTCTCAGTGATTCTACCTAGAGTAAGAGGACAGCCTGGTGAGGCAGGCAGCGGAACCACTGAGCTAAATCCCCAGCCCGAAGACAGCCTGATTCTATCCTGTGTCCCAGTTTAGGCTTACCTAGCTTTAAAATTGGATATCCTTTTTAACACCTGCTGTCGTTTTTGTTCCTTCTGTTTTTTAAAAGGCAGGAAATTAAATCCTTTCTGTATCCTCTCTACGAATTCCCATCTCCCCTCTATTTGTTTTTGTACCTGGAGATTTTGCTTTCTTGTTTTTGATTTTAAATACAGTTTTTTTATTGTTAAACTGTACAGAGGAAAAAATGCATCCAGTAGTTTTTTTTTTGAATGGAATGTAGACATTCTACCTATTCATATTTGTCAAGGAAATTGGAACCATATAGTTTAAAATTATTTTTTTCTTGACCCACTATTAGTAACAATTTACATTAAATAAGCTATAAAATCAATTTAATTCTAACTATAATTTACCAGCTATAGTTAACATCTTAAAATCACTAAATATTCTTATAATCCAGAAAAGATTGAAAAGTGCAACTTATGAAAATAGTTTATTTCTCACATAAAGATTGTTCACTTTATCTAATGTATAAAATTAAATAACTGAAAGACTACATAATAAATTTACAGCTACTAAATTTTAACATTTTAGAGAGTCATGACACTTTATGCCATAATGTATAAAATCATTAGTGTTTTTCTTACTTGGGATAGTAGGTGTCAGCATATGTATCGGTATGTCCACAGTCTTGATAATAGAAATATATTTTTCCTATTTTATCTTTCTAAAGATCTAGACTGACATCTAACAATTATTTCAATTGGAGAATGTAATCCACCTCATTTAGAGTGTATTGAGGAAAAGCAAAACATTCTTTATGTTTGGCCAGACTTAATTTTCAGACTTAATTTTTTTCAGACTTAATTTTTGCTTCCTTCCCCTTTTTCAGCCATCTAAAGGAAAACTGAATGTGGATACAGTGACACATAAAAAGACAGACCAGCCACCAAATGAAGAGGGCATCTCATTTCCCTTTTACATTTCACACCCCATAACCCAAAAGAAGAAAAAAATCTACCGAACAGACCAGAATACGTTCATAATTGGAGAAACACCAAAAGTAATCCGCAGGTATGTCATCTGTGACAACACTAAACTTTAAGAATAATTATCAAAAAAAGTTTAACTCCTCAGTAAATAACAGATTTTGAAATATAACCATATCTGATACCTGAATATTTCAGGTAAGTCTAAACTTTCTGATTTTTAAAAAAATTCCAAGTGTTTTCAAAAACTAATTTCTGACTTGATTTTTTTAAAATCATAGAAGAAAACAAAGTATTTAAGTGTATTCATTCACTGAATATTTACTGAGCACCTAGTATATGTGCAGGCATGCTGAGGGCTGAATATACAGCATAAAACACAGACATAGAGCTTATTCTGCAGTAGTAGGGCAGGGGTTGACATCAACCGTAACAAGTATAAAGTACAAGGAATGTAAAAATAAGTAACTATAAAATGGACAGACTGCCTTGACAGAAAATGGTGAGATGGCAGGAATGGTAGTGGGGCTTTCTGGTGAACAGTCAGCAAAGCCCTCTCTACATAGGGGACATGTAAGTCAGACCCAAAGGGTGACCAGGTGAAGAGTATCCCTGAGGAAGGAGGAGGTGTGGTGTTTTGGGGGAATAAAGAACAGGCTGTTAGACTCAGTGCACCATGTGGAAAGTGCCATGAGATGAAGGCAACACAGATGGAGTAAAGCATGTTAAGTCTCAGAGCCTGTGGAAGCAATCTGCATTATGTTCCAGATACAGTGCATAGCTGGTGAAGAATGATGTGACCTGACGTGTCTTCAAAGGATCCTTCCAGCGTCAGTGTGGAAGAGGGCAAGTGGATGAGGGCAGATGATAAAGAGCCAGGTGATGGTGGTTTGCACTAGTATGGTTGCCATGAGATAGAACCAAATGGTTTGGGAAGGAAAGGGACCAGCATAGATTTGTTGAGTGAGGAAAACTAGGAGGAAAGTTTGGAGTGAAAAAAGTCAAGAGTTCTGTTTTGCTTCTACTAACTTTGAGATTCATTGGAAATGTCAGGCAGTGGGTAATGAGTGTGCTACTCTGGGCCTGGGGATTGGAGATGTAAACTTGGAAGCTATCAGCATGGAGGTTATAAATGATTTTCAGAACCATGGCTCTGTGTCAACAGCCTGGGCACAGAGTACAGGAAGGAGGGAGGAACCCCAGGACAAGGCCTTGCGGGGGCAGCCTCTTTTGGGGGGGCAAGTGCAAAGTAGTCCTAGGGTAGGATCACAGAATAAGGTCCTGAAGTCCAAGTGAGGGTTTCAAAAAGACAGGGATACTTTATCAGGTTCTGCAGAATCGGATGGAATGCAAAGAGGCTAGGTGTTGGTAGTAGAGAGCTCATTGCCACCTTGGCACAAGCAGTCTGAGTGGACCAGTCTGCAGACACTGAGGCAAGAGCCATCCCAGAATGAGGGATCCCTGCAGTATCAGAAGGAGCCTTGTAGCTAAAGGACATTGTGGGGTCCATGAAGGATTGTTTTAAAGCTTGGGAAGATAATAGGTTCTGCTTTGAGTGTTGAAGGAAAAGACATATGGGGGGGTGGGAAGTATCTACAGAGAGATGATTCCAGAAAGACTGATTCCTGGAGGCAGAAGAGAGCAGCATGCAGACCACCCAATGACTGGCTTTTGAGAGGCATTCAAAGAGAAGGGACCAAAATGGGCAGATATGGTGACATTTTTCTCAGTGAATCAAGAATTGAAGCCATCAGTTCAAAGGGGATGAGTTATGAAATAAATTACTTGTAAAGTAGAGAGAGCAAGCTTAATAATACTGGACTTCTTTGGTGATGTTAAGTGGTAAAGCTTTCCATCTAGGCTTGTGGATTTTATTTAGCAAGCTTCAGCTTCTCTGTCGTAGGCACAGGGTAGAAAGATGTTAGGTTTTACCAGGGCTTAGAATGGAGAGTGAGAGAAACAAGGAAGCCAGAGGTGCTTATAGAGGAATGATGGTACAGATAAACCCAAACTGGTGAGTGAACAGGCAAGAGGACCAGTAAATTGGAGGGCTTGATAATCCAGCAGCTGAGCTACAGCAGAAGACTGATTTCTGTGATTTGGAGATGACAATGACAGATGGAATCTTGGATGTGGGGAAGTAACATGGAATTGAGATGAGTCTGTGGAGATCAGATATAGAAAGTGATGGACTAAGTGTTGGGTGGGACATCTACCCAGATAGTGATGCTGTCAAGAATGATGACAAAATATGGCGTAGGAATCAGATTCACTCCATGTTCAGTCACTAGCATGGAGCAAAGAAGAGAAGCAGGGAAAGAGGATCCATGGTCCTTTGTTTCTTTCAGCAATGTGTATTTTTTTTTTTAAGGATAAGGATTAGTTCTTGTCTCCCTTCCTCCCTGGTTGGCCAGAGTGAAAGCTGTGGACCTCCCTATGGCCACATGACTATCTGGATGTAGAGCTCAGCCCTGCTGCCATCCCTCAGAAAGCTGATGCAGAGAGAAAGTGTTGCAGCTCTGTACTTCCTGAGCTCCTCAAGAAAAGGGGATTTCAAATTTTATCATTTGTACATAACTCTTTTTTGATACCCTTGCTAAAGAATACCTATCATTAGTTTGATTTCCTTTTCTTCCTTTTTTTCCCTAAGTGGCTGACAGAAGTTTACTCTAGATTCCTATGTTTTCCTCACTAAGTGGCTAGCTTCTGCTTCTGGTTATACCTTGCAGTTTCTTACATTCTTAGAGAAAATTCCTTTGAAATCCCAGAATGAGGAAAATGAGTTAGAAGGCAAAAATAGAATGAATGTTAATCATAAGCCATCCTATAAGGGGCAGCCATGTGACATAATTTACTTGCAGGCTACGCAGGTTCAGCAGGGTTTGCAGCAACTCTCCCCCAAAGGTGACAGGCTGCAGGGTCATGGAGAGGTCATGGTGTCAGAACAGCAGAAGTGACTTTACTTTGGCAGCAGCTGAGTCACCACCACGTCTTGGGTAAATAAAAGAAATCAGTTTGTAACTCTGCCAATCGCTAAATCTTTATAAGCACAAATATTTATTAGAAGGCCATGAAATGGATTTGAAGATGATTAATAAACAAAATAATATCTTATTACTTCATTTGAAGTAAAAACTGGAACCTGTTAAGAACATGCTTGCTTTCCATTGGAAAATCACATTGGTGATTTTCAAGGCAGAAATCTGAGAGCTTGTATTTGTGTTACTGAGTATTCTGTTGGAGATGAGTGTGACTGTTAACCAGGGTTTGGATTTGGAACCTTGAACAAGACACTGTGGTAAGCACTGTGGAGCCATGACAAAGGAAGAGGCGCACATCATTGCAGACTGCCGCAGACACCAAAGTGAACACAGACTTGATATGACCATGCTCCTACAGTAAAGTAAATCATTATTTTCTGTTATGTATAGGATGAAATTTAAACTTTCGAACTGGGCACACAGACCACTTAGGGTTGTCAGCCTCTTTATTGGCAGGTTCCCCTCCAAACTGGACCTGTGCACATGTCCCCCTCCCTGGAAGATGTCCTCGCCATATTTATCTGGCTGACTTGAAGTGGCAGTAGAGAAGCCCTCCCCACCCATTTTGCCTAGCAGTCATCACTGGCTTGGGTGCCCTTCTGTGAGCTCCAGTTGGGCCCTGTACCTATAACCTCCACCACAAGCCTCATCACCACTCTATTCTAGTAAGGTCCTCATGTATTTGTTTCTTTCAGCTAGACTAGAAACTCCTTGAAGATACAGAACTAGATCTTGTTTACTGTTGTATATTTACTACTGTGGACCTACCACATAGCAGGGGTCATGAAATGTTTGCTGAATGAATACAACTTTGAGATTTGTAATAATGTGCTACAACACCATCTGTGTCTCTAGAAGTATTTACCAACATTGGACTTCCCTAACTCATCGTACAAACTCCACATTAGCAAAGCAATACCTTCTGTCTTAGTCTGCTTTGACTACCATAAAAAATACTACAGCTTGGGGAGTTCAACACACAGAAGTTTATTTCTCATTTCTGGAGTCTGGGAAGTCCAAGATGGAAGTACTAGCTAATTCATTTTTGGCTTGCAGATGGCCCCTCTTCTCACTGTGTCCTCACTGTGGCAGAGAGGAAGAGAGAGTAGAAGCAGGAGAAGTGGAGAAGGGAAAGATTAATAAACAAGATAGTATTTCATTACTTCATGTGCAGTGAAAACTGGAACCTTTTAAGAATACTCTGTGCTAGCTCACTAGCTTTTCTTCCTGTTGGATTGGGGCCCCATCCTTATGACCTTATTTACCTTTAATCCTCTTAAAAGCCTTGTCTCCAAATACTGTCACATTGGGTACTAGGACTTCAACATCATTTTGAGGGAGCACAACTCAGTTCGTAGCACCTTCACCTATATATGGAAAAGAGCAGAGTGCGTTGCCCAAGATACTTAAATAATTTTTCTGTCTCCATCTTAATCAGGTTCCAGGAAGCCCATTTCCTCATACATGAATATAGCAGCTTTTATTAGTATCTTATACTAAGAATACAGCTTAGTTCTTCAAATAACATCTCACTTCTAACCTCAGCTGTATACTGAAGTTGGACCAACTGGGGAAAAAAGAATCTAGATTTATCAGTTTAAAATTTTCCTTTAGCCCAGCTAGCTCAGTTGGTGGAGCATGAGACTCTTAAAATTTTCCTTTAGGCTCCTCAAAAAGTTTTGTGAAATTTCTGTTGTATTTATGGAAGGGAAAAGAAGAAAGAGAAGAAAAAAATGTCTTTATTAATTTTTAGAACCCTTTTTTGACTTATTTCATGGAACTTGAATGCAATATGGATTTTCAAATAAGATTATATAAATTATAATTCTCATGTCAGTCATAAATTGGCTCCCTGGAGGAGTAGCATGCTGAGATCCCATAATTCCCAGGAAATACCTAATAGTATAAATCAGAATAATTTTAAAAGCTAGTGATTTCATGAGCTAAAATTTCTTGTCAATAACATAAGAAGAGCGGGCAAATTCTCTAGGATAAAAGCATTTTCATTATGGAATTAAGCAGACATATGCTAAAGGAACAAAACAAACATAGTTTTGCTTCTATTTTTCCCATCATTGATGATGAGTTCCTCAAAGATAAAAAGTAATAAAAATAACCAGTGGTTTTATTCATTTTCTCTTTAGAAAACAATTTGAAGAAATGGCCTCTTACTTTAACTTCCCTTCTGTAAAGGAATTTGCTAAACATATAACTAATGCTACATCAGAAGAACGACAGAAAATGCTAAAAGACTTTTATGTTTCTCAGTATCCAGAGGTAAAAGAATTTTTTGTGGATTCAGCTTCAGAGTTAATCGGATCTGCCCACAAGGAAGAAAGGAGAGTCAAGAAGAAATCTAAAGAAAGAGAACCTCTTGTAAAAGAAAAGCTGTCAGATTCTAAAACTTTGTCTTTTAATGAGTTTGCCAACAAATTTTCCCAGACTTACAGCCCCAAAATAAATAAAGGAAAATCAGTTAGGTTTCGAGATCATGGTTCCTGTAGAGAAGAAGCACTTTCTAATGATGGGGATGTTAAGAAATCACCCACTACCTCTCCTCAAGAGATTGACAGTGGGAAAAGCAGCCATGCATCCAGAGGCACTGTGGCCTCTCACTTCCCGCACAGGAAGTTCAAGTCACAGGAGAGCACGTTAGAGAATACCCTAGAAGACGAATGGGACTTCACAAGAACAGGCATTGCAAGAAATGGACACCTTTTCAAATTGGAAAACAGAAAGACAGAAAATCCAGTATTAGAAAACACTTGTGTGGAAGGCTTACTCGGTGACACTTCTATTCTTGATGACCTCTTTAAAAGTCAAGGGAACAGTTCCACAGGACTGCCAAAGAAAGTACTTTCAGAGCCCGTGGAGAAAGCAAAGCAGAGACCAAAGGATTTCTGGGACATCCTGAATGAGCAGAATGATGACAATCTCAGTAAACTCACTGACTTGGCAGTGATAGAGACACTGTGTGAAAAGGCACCCCTCACTGCAGCCTCTAAAAGGAAAGCAGCACTGGAGCCGTCTCTCTGGAAACCAAATGAGAAGTTCTTATGGAAAACATTTAACCCAGGAGACACAGATGAAAATGCAACCAGTACACAAAAGGAGTGACACATACATATAAATGGATTCTTATACCAGTGAATCACTCCCCTCAGTATAGACAGGACTGTATTCCACTAATTCTATTACCTTGAACATCATTGTCAACATATATTTTTATTAAATTTTTGCTTTAGGATTTTTTTAGTCTAAAATATCATGAACTTGGTTTCCTTGATATCTGATTTGATCTCTTATAAATATGACTGTTAAAGTATAAACCTTTGTTATGAAATAAAAAACATTCTAGATTTTTTACCGGGAGACTTGGTACATCTGTCCTACTGGGTAATTGTATGACCTTAGAGAAGTCACCTGCCCTCATGTGCATCCATTTCCTAACATGAAAAGTACAGGATTGAACCAGGTCAGCATAAGGATCCTTCCAGTTTAAAAACCTTGGTGCTTTCTCCCAAGTTGCATTTAATCCGAGGCCAAAACATGCCCCCAAATCAGATGTATATAGACATATTGGCAGTCATTTGGAAAATGAGTGTTTTCCTTTTCCCTTGGCATCATGTTCTATTATTAAGTTATTTTAGTTGAAATTTGTAATTAGTACTGAATATATGGTGTTGTTAAAATGGTAATTTATAGCAGCTCAGAATCAAAGGTTAATGTTGCATAACTATGTGAGACATAATGCTAAAGTAATAGGATTTTTACCATTAGCCACAGATACCAATGCTTCAACTTTTTTTATACAACTTATGATTTAGTCCATGCAAGTAAAGCTTTATATACTTTTGTATTTCTTAAATAGGAAGAAATGAATATTTTATTTAGTTTAAAACTAATATTTTGTTGAATTTAATTTATATTGCTCAGATCCAAACTGGAAAGTGCTGTTGTTGAATTCATTCATTTTGAAACATTCAACCCCGGTATTCTGTGCGAGCCCCAACTGTACAGATGAGATCCAGCTACCAGTAAAAGCAAGGAGATTATGTCTGTAAAGAATTGTGTATGTGAAGCCCCTGGCATCATGCCTGGCACAGCAAAGGCAGGGACCTGGGGCTGGTACTGATCCACATTTAGTTGCACTCTTGCAACTTGCCCTCAGCGAAGCTCACAGGGCTATGGCAGGAGGAAGCAATCATCCATAAAATGACAGTGAGTCAAGTTGTGGTCAGAGATCACTATTAGAAAAGGGGACTTGGGACTGTCTAGGATATAAAGCCATCACTTAGAAGTGAAACACACACACAAAACCCGAGTCTTTTCTCAAGAGCTGGAATGACCCAGTATGTTTTTCTTTAGGATAATCTTTTATCCCAGAGAACTATGAAATATATTTTATATCATGGCATACATATGTATTTATGCATATATGTAATTGAAATAAAAGGTTCATGAAATAGTATTTACCCTTAAAGCATCCAGTGTATATTGATATTTTTCTAGGAGTGAGTCTGTGTGTGTGTGTGTGTGTGTGTACTTTAATTCACCCATTGAATTGATTTCATGAAGAACACTGCTTCAGATTATATAGTTAAGTCATCTGTTTGCTACTGACTTATGTCCAGACTTATCAGATGCTACACTTCTCCATTAAAGGGCTTTCTATAAAATGACTGCACCGTAAAGGCTATTGTTGACTGGATATATAGATATTGTCAGCTTATTGTGTGGCCATCCATTGGAGGAGCTTTGGGAAGGTCCTTTGCTACATGGCCCTTTGGGGGACACATAAGACCCAAAATTCTAGCATTCTGCCCTGGCCCCCAAAGATTCACATCCACCTCACAGTGCAAAATGCATTTAGTCCATCCTCAAGAATCCCAGATTTAAAACTATTTCAGCATTGCTCAGAAGTCCAAATCTTTCTTTGAAATGCAAGGCAAAGTCAGCCGTAATATCCCATAAGAGTCAAAAAACTCTGTTTCCCAGATACAATAGCAGGACAGGCACAGAGTAAACACTTCATTTCAGTTTATCTACTTGACAGTGTAGTTCAGACATTTTAATAAAGTATTTCTTTCATAAAATACCTTTAAGTTTTTCACTTGAACATGACCTTAGAAGCACAGAATGATAGTCATACAAATGTTAGTCTTATACTCTTCAAATATAAAGAAATACTATTAAAGAGACTCTTCAGTGATATTCAAAATGGGAGTAATAATGCAGACCTGGAACTTACAAATTAGTATTCTCAACAGTTGTTAGTGAGACTGTTACCATTATTACTGTGTAAAGACTGTGCCATGCACAGTGCAGGGCCAGGTATGAAATGAGCCAGTCCGTGTTTCCAGAAGAAAAGATGTCAGAGTTCACTCTCTGCAGTGGAGAATTGGGAAGGCCTGGTTAAACCACTGGTGCATCTGGGAGCAGATGTGCTAGTTAGTGTCCCATTACTATAACAAATACCTGAGATAATCAACTTATAAGAGAAACGTTTTATTTGGCTCAAGGTTTCAGAGGTTCCAGTCCATAATTGGTTGGCTCCATTGCTTTTAGGCCTGTTGCTATGAAGTACCTCATAGCAGTAGCACATGCTAGGACAAAACCACCCTATATTGCCAAGAAGCAAGAAAGGAAAAATGAAAAGAGACTGAGGTCCTCCAGTCCCCTTCAAGGCCACACCCTCAATTGTTTGAAGACCTCACACTGAGCCTCACTTAAAGGCTCCACCACCTCCCAGTACCACTGCTTTGGGGAGCAACCCTTTGCCACATGGCCCTTTGGAGGACCCATAAGATCCAAATTCTAGCATTCTGCCCTGACCCCCAAAGTTTCATATCCATCTCACAGTACAAAAATGCATTTATATAGTCCATCCTCAAGAGTCCAAAACTTAACTGTTTCAGCATTGCTCAGAAGTCCAAATCCAAAGTCTGAAATGCAAGGCAAACTCAGCTGTGATATCCTGTGAAAGTCAAAAAGTTCTATGCTTCCCATGTGTAATGGTGAGACAGATACAGGGTAAACTCCTAATCCAAAAGGGAAGATTCAAAACATAGGAAGGATCAGACCAAAGAAAAATCAAAACATAACAGGGCAAATACTAAATCGTTTATTTCCATGTCCAGCCCCCAGGACACAGTATAATTGCATGTGGACTCCAAAGGGCTTGAGAAGCCCTGCCCTGTGCCCTTGTTGAGTACAGATCAAACAGCCAGTGCTGGGCTGGCTTTGCAACACTGCCTGCAACTTCCTTCGGCAGGTGTTCCACATTGCTGGCATCTTTGTCCTTTGGTCTCCACTGCAGCTTTGCCTCCACTCGTAAAGCTCCACACATTGCCTTGTCAGGGGATCCCTGCAGAGAGTCATGCACTGCCTAGCCTGCGAGGCTTTCCTGAGAGATCTTAGTGAAAGCTCCATGACCTCATAGCTCTTCCATTCTACATGTCTGCAAAACCAGCACCACATGTATGACACGTGGTCTGCCACCAACACAGGCTATACTTGGACTTACTTGAACCATGCATGGCTACAGCAGCCTCTGCCTCACTGGTTGAACATGGAGAAATGAGTCCTTGGGCACTTCTGGACATGCGGAACAACCTAGGGCTCTTAGTGAAATCTGAAACATTCATACCTGCACTCCTTTGAGCCTGTGATGGATGGGGTGGCCTTGCAGATTCCTGAGATGCCCTCAAGTATCTTTCTTCTTGTCCGGGAGCAAAGCATTTGGCTTCATCTTAATGGGGTTAATCTCCATTGGCTTCAATTTTTTCTTGCCAGTGTGCAAAGTCTTCAAATCATTCTGCTCTTCTCCTCTCTGCTCTCAATTATCACTACTAAATTTTGGGTAAAGGCCAGTGATACCCACGAATCACTTGAAATTGTTTGAAATTTCCTCCACAAGAATAGTCCATCACCTTTAAGCTCAGATTCTCACAGAGCATCTCAGAGCATGGACAAAGTACATGCAGATTCTTTGCTGCAGTGTAATAAGGATGGATTTAAGTCCAGTGCCCAAAAGAGTCCTTATTTCTGTCTGAAACCTCATCAGCATAACCTTTTCTGTCCACAATCTCAGCATTCTATTCTCATCCCTCATCAGAATTGCCGTTTAACCCACATTTCTAGGGTTTCTTTAGCCTGCTTCCCCAAATTCCTCCCATAAATCACTTTCCAAAGGCTTTTCCACATTGTCAGGTATAGTCATAACAATGACTCACTTCTCAGTACCAATTTTCTGTTAGTAGTCAGCTTTTCTTTACTATAACAAATACCCAAAGTAATCAGCTTATAAAGAGAAATGGTTTATTTGGGCTCATAGTTTCAGAGGCTCCAGTCTATGTTCAGTTGGCCACATTGCTTTTATCCTGGTGACAGCAGCACATTATGGTAGAAGTGCATGTGAAGCAAAAACACTCCTGTTGTGGCCAGAACATCAAAAGAAAAAGAAGGGACAGTACCACCGTCCCTTTGAAGGGCACATCCTAATACCTAAAGACCTCCTACTATGCCCTACTACATCCCAGTAGCACCCCCTTGGGAGCAAACCTTTACCATATGGACCTTTGAGGAACACAAGATCCAAACTCTAATGCAGTGATGGCAAACCTTTTAGAGCTTTCAGTAATAACACACAGCCAGCTGTAGCATGCATGCCATAAGTTCACCACCACTGCTCAAATGGATGCTATGAAGTTTCAGCAGTAGGAGTCCTTCCTACACACACCACACTGGTGATGTGTCACCAAGTTCTGCCAACTAAATGGGTGGTCTGAGGAAAATCTTAGCACTTCCAGCCTCCTTTTTCCCTTTAAATTAGAAGTGGATTGAATTATTGGTGTTCAAGCTTTTTTCTTTTTTTAAGTACATGAGCTCCATCTTAATCAAAAGCTCAATTATTAAAACAATTAAAATAGAGATCTGTTGGTTGAAGCCAACAGAGATAAGATCATTGCTAAGAAACCTTCCAACTCCAGGCTTCCATGATCCTGTTCACCACAATCTATTTGACTTCATTTTAAAGCAATGGTATGGTTTCTGGCTGCTAGTAATCACTGCACAGTTATTAGTAGTGGAAACTGACACAAATACCAAGAGACTTTGCACTTGATATCCTAGAGGCCCTAAAACACTTCTTCAAGGAAGTTAGCAACAGTTGCAAGTGGTGCAACTGTCCCAAAGTATTCAAGGCAAAGGAGCCTTTGCAGAGATGAGTTGATATAAACTCATCAGTTCATGGAGCATGAGAAAGCCACAAGCAATATAGGGTTGTTCTTTAGTTAAAGTTCAGCAAGTAGTTTTAAAATTCTGGTTCTCTTTCCTTTATGATGTTAAATATTCCTCCTTTATGAAATGATTATAGTAGATCATAGTTTTTAGGTTTTTTGTTGTCCCAACTTGATATAAAAGTTTGTAACAGCCAGAGATTTAGCTCAGTGCTTCCGCCACCTGCCTCGCAAACACAAGGTCCCGAGTTCGATCCCCAGTATCAGGAAAAAAAGTTTTTAACTATAGATGAATCCCAAAAGTTTTACTTGCCATTTACTAATCTATAAAATCCCCCAAAATAAGGATCATTGCCTACCTTACAGGTCATTTTTACATACAAGGAAATAGAGGTCTATAGGTTATTGCCCCAAATCCAGTTAACAGTGGATCTAGGACCTCACCAAGCATGTTATTGAACCTGTAGGAATTAATGAGATGCATCTGCCTTTAAAGAGCCCAGACTACAGGTCACTTTTTCAGCTCCTCATCTACTTCTTTAATCATCCTTGAGGAGACCTTATTCCAGGTTCCATCCCCCACTGCTTGTGCAACCTCCCCCTGTTGTTTCTGGGAGACCTTATAGGGTGGCCACAAGACACTTTCTTTGGTGACAGCCCTGTGCGCTGGCACCTGTCCAGGTGGTCCACATGGTGCTTGTGGCAGGTGGCAAGAACATCTCACTTTTTTTTGTTAAAGGGCAACCTCAGGAGAACTGTCTTGCCTCATAAAGTCTTCTAGGAGTTTATGTATGAAAACAGCCTTTTTGGCATTTACCCTCCCCAAGGAGACAGAGGCAGGTTCACTCTTCCTTCCACAGTTCCAGGCAGTGTTGTTCTCACCCCAAGGATAGCAAGTCACTCGGCCTGCAGAGGCTTTTAAATGCAGATACCCAGATACCCTTCTCAGGAGACTGTGGCTCAGGTGCCCAGGGCTTGGCCCAGGTGCACTTTTTATTGTTTCACAGTTGTTCTTATATGCCATGCTTTGGAGGTTTTCACCGGGCAAGACTCACCTGCCTAACCTCCAGTTCCCTGGGAGCCACTTGTTCCAGAGGGCATGGCAGTGAGCACTCTACCCTGCCTCTTTTGCTATAATAAGATTTGTTTAACTCATGTATATATCCTTCCTACCAGTGGCTTGATTGTTTCTTCGTTTGAGGTACTAGGGATTGAACTCAAAACTTTTGCACAGAACTGCATC